ATTTGTTATCCATAACCCTGACAGCAATAAGCAGTCCTTTAAATTCTCATTCTCTCTTTCTCTCTCTCTCTCTTTTACTAATCTGATCAGTGTAAAGTGATATAATGGAAACCTTATGCCTTAAACTCACACATTAGGAACAGGCTGATATAGAATCAAGTCCATCTGGTTCTGTTATCAGTGAAAGTGGGGTGTCGACCAGTGGAAGTGGGGGATCCCCTTCCCCACTGGGGGCTCAGGGTAGGGTCCTTATGATTTCTCGAGAAAAAGAATTTCCTGAGGCTCACATAGGAGGATGAGTGAATTTTATTTCCATGGAATTACATCCTGGGGCTTCAAAAGTCGAAAGTCCCTTTATCCAGTCCTGGAAGAGGTGCAATTGGGGATTCAGCAGGGCTAGAAATGAAGCCATGTCCAGAGTTCCCATTCCATGGTGGAGATGGGTCCAGTGTAGCATCAGGCTAGTTGTAGTCCATTCGTCCATTGTGTGTAGTACATTAGTCCATTGTGTGGGGGCTGTGGGCCATGTGGGCAAAAGCAGGAGCGTGAGAGTTGCAGGCCAGGAGCACAAACCAAGAAAGAGAGAGAACTCCTTTGTTTAGGAGCTTATACATCTCAAATCTTCCCAAGATTGCAGTGGCCACGCCTACTCTGTCCCACGGCCTGTTCCCAGATGTTGCTGACAGTCAAGTACCTTTCCTATGTCATCCAGACTTTACTGGGCATGTGTTTCTTCTTCCTTTGTGCAATCCCTTCCCCCAGGATCTGCAGGGAACAGATCTGGAGAGTGTCAAACTGTAGCTTCCTGGTCCTAATGGCATGCCTATATTATCTGGCCTTCCTTTTTCTCCTTTCCTATCATTAATAACTGGGTTAAATTATAACCTATCACTATCTTCATAGAGTTGAATTACATTGAAATAGCCAAAACATATTGCAGATCTTTGTTTGGGTAGAATCTATCATCTATTCTTCCTTTTGTTTATTAGCACATTGTTTACATTACTGGTCGCATGTCCATGGCATATCTATAATACTAAAAGCATAATATGTTAATTAGACCGGACACCGAACGACCTTCCAGATGTCATTCTGGATGTCCTTCCGGATGAAGCCGCGGCAGTGGGGCCAAGGCAGAGGCAGTTAAGGGTGATCAGCCAGGCAGGTGAGCAGTTAGGGGCAATCAGGCAGGCAGGCGAGCAGTTTGGGGCATCAGGCAGGTAAGCAGAGTGGTTAGGGGCGATCAGGCAGGCTAGTGAGCAGTTAGGCGCATCAGGCAGGCAGGCAGAGTGGTTAGGGGTGATCAGACAGGCAGGCAAGTGGTTAGGGGTGATCAGACAGGCAGGCGGGCCAGTGATTAGGAGCCAGCTGTCCCAGATTTCGAGAGGGATGTCCAACTGCTGGTTTAGGGATCCCTGTGCATAGGGCCTAAACCAGCAGTCGGATATCTCCCGAGGGGGTCCCGGTTTGCAAGAGGGTGCATGCTGGGCTGAGGGACCCTCCATGCACAAATTTCATGCACCGGGCCTCTAGTATGCTATATAAAAATCATCTTTAGATCTTGCTGCTCTTCAAAAGGGACTAGATAACATCTATAATAATAAAAGTGTAATATGCTAATTAGACCAGACATCCTTCTGGACGAAGCCAGAGCTGGGAGGGAAGCCCGGGTCCCGGGAGCCAGAGGGAAGCCAGTGCCGGAAGCTGGGGGAAGGAAGACCTACTCATGCACGAATTTTGTGCATCGGGCCTCTAGTTTGGTATAAGAAAACACTGCTCCAGTATTTCAAGTGTACTACCTTTGTAATCTTCAGTGTAACCATCACCATGAAACCTTCTTTGTCATGAGCATCATTGCTTATCATAGTTTTTTAACGTACCCCTATATAAAATTCAAGTTTCTACTATTTTTGATTCTCTTCTATTTATAATTATTATTTTAGATTTTTATTCTTGGTTTACCAAGTATATTAATTTTTCTCATCTAGTTCCTTTTGATCATTTTAATTTTAACATTTTTATCTATTAACATTTAATTGTTTAAATATTCTTCTCAGGTATAATTCTTTTTAACTATTATTATTTCTTATTTCCTTCCTCTTCTCTTTTAAATATTCTGATGATTTTTGTCCCTTTTGATCTAATAGTTTTCTGATTTTATTGCACATTTTCCATTTTATATACTTATTTTACAAATAGCAATCAGGAAATCTAGTTATAGAGACAGCCAAGTAGTTTTGTTGATGTATTGGTCACAGTTGGAGAGGGAAAGACCAGAATTAGTGTTGAAACCTAGCATTTAAGCCAGAACAAATGGGCTTATTAAAACAGAAAAAACTGAGAGAGGAGTATGATGGAAGAGAAAAATAAGAGTTTCTTCCACTATCACCATCACTACATAATAAAGGAAAAATAATTTTAATATCACAGAGGGGCACAAGTGCAGATATTTAAAAATGAATACTTTTAGTTTTCAAAAAAATTCACTACTCTATTTTTTTTCTTTCTCATTTTACAGTTAATTGGTGATAACTTCTGGCATTTGGGAATACTTGCTGTAGATAATAGAAGGATTTATAGTCCAGGAAAACTCACTGTAGTACCTCTATAGAGAATAGATTGAAAAAGGTTGAAGATAATGCCATTAGAATGAAACCTGTAGAGGTAGGCTACAATTTGATAAGGTGAGGGAGAAAGATCTTCAAATCTAATAGGGAAGCTGCAGGTTGAGGAAGTTTTATCTGCTGTCAATAATGTAGAAGAAAGAAGTTTTTGCTCAGAGTGCAATGGTTCAGCATCATTTTTTTGACAAAAAAAGTGATAATTTGATGAGTTAAAAATGGTACCTAGTTGTTTTAATAGGCACATTCAGTCTTCTGAGCTTCAAGGAAGCCTGTCTAGCCAACATGTTGCTTTTACTTAGTATTATGTTTAATTTAGCATGGCTCTGGAGACCACACTACTTTAAATACCTCGTTTAAGTAAGAGTAAGTAGCCCTAACCGGTTTGGCTCAGTGGATAGAGCATCAGCCTGCAGACTGAAGGGGCAGGGACCAGATTCAGTTCCGGTCAAGGGCTTGTACCTTGGTTGCGGGCACATACCCGGTGGGGAGTGTGCAGGAGGCAGCTGATCGATGTACTCCCTCATGTTTCTAACTCTTTATCACTCTCCCTTCCTCTCTGTAAAAAAAAATCAATAAAATATATTTTTAAAAAACAAATAAATAAGAGTAAGTAAATAGTAGCAATTTGTAAATGTATTAGAAACGTTAAATATTATCTTAATGAGACCATGAACTTCTCAAAATTAAAAATGCCTTCTTTTTTTGTACAAAGGTAGCCCTTTATTATGATGAAACTAGAGGCCCAGTGGACAAATTCGTGCATGGGTGGGGTGCAGCTGGCTCTCCCTGATTGGGGCCTATTGGGACAATTTGCATATTAGCTTTTTATTATATAGGAAGAGCTCACAGACAGGGAGACCAACCCTGCTGGTCCCCCGCTCTCAGGTTCTTCTCCGGCAAAACGGTTCAATGATATGCACAGCATAGAACTTTTGAGGATGTTTAATGACATAGCGGGTGTGTAAAGGAGAAGGGACTCTACACTTGTTAGCTGTCCCTAATCTCTCTCCTCTTCTCCCAGCGCTGGGTACACAGAGAGGGAACTAACTGTTGGCTGGTTGAATGAATGAGTGCATGACGCGGGCTCAAGATCTCACTTTGGAATCCAGCCTTGGAAAGCGCCCTTCTATCAGAAGCTGTGATGTGGCCTGTCCTTAAGGTTTTTTCCATTTTTTTTTTTAAAGCACCTACTAAACTACAAATCCCAGGCGTCTTCTGGAAGCCGAGGAGTCAAAAGACTTGCCAGGAAGGCGGAAGTCTGGCCGACTCGCCCAATCACGCCGGGAAGCCTGGGCGGGGGCTCCGGGCTGGC